GCTACTCTGGAGGATGTGACAGGAGAATCGCTTGATCCCGGGAAGTGGAGGTTGCAGTGAGCTTAGATCGTGCCACTACACTCCAGCCTGGGTGATAGAGCAAGACTCTGCCCCTTCCCCCTCCCCCTGCCACCACTGGCCCCGCCAAGAAAAAAAGACTCTATGTCCTTTCTTTCCGGTAACTATCAGGAAAATGAGTATGGTTGGGGGACAGATAGGTATATGTAAGGCAAAATGTGTACTTGAGATAGATCTAGTTTCTCCTGTTTCTAGGACTTGATTGAATCCTCTGTCTAGTGTGCTCTTCCTTCCAGTCTGCCTAGTGTAAATTAAATTGTATTTCATTCAATCAGCTCATCATCAGAACAGTGTTTCTTCATGCCTCTTACTTATTTTTTTTCTCATGGTGTCTAGTGTTTTTCCTTCATTCCTTTTTTTAGTTCACAATTCAATATTTATATGATTGTTTGATGTGTAATAGACAAAAATATATCTGCTTTGCTTTCGAGTATCTGCCTCATAAAAGGCACTCACTATTTGTTGAATGAATAAGTGGTTGGTTGAATGCATGAATGAATGAAGCGATATTCGAATTTAGTTTTAAAGGTGATTAGAATTTTGGACAGGCGGAGCAACTGAATGGGGAATTCTTTGTTCTGAAGTGGAAACTGTGGATCATATTGCTCGTATAATTTCAGAAAACTGGAGAAACTGGTTTGGGAAAAGGTGAAGGGCTGGATTTGTATATAGTATGCTAAATTTGGGGTATGGAAGTTTAGCAGGCATTTAGAAATGAGGCACTGATCTGAAGGGTGAGACTGATTCCAGATATTCACTTTTGGGAGTTACCTGACCAGAGAATATGAAATCTGTTCCTTTCACAAATGCTTGGTAAGCTCCCACTGTGTGCCAGACAGCTATGTTATAGGGAAGGTGAACTGCAGTCTGAGAAGGAGCCAGTCTTGTGAAAAGAGCTAGGGAGAATGTTCCAGCTAGGAAAGGAACCCCAAGTTTGTGGGCCTGGGGCAAGAAATAATTTATAATTTTTGAGGAATTGAAAGAAGGTGACTGAAGGACAGAGCGAGGTAAGTGAAGGAAGTGGGAGAGCTGCATGAGGTAAAGTGGGAGAGGCAGGCAGAACCCACATCACATGAGGACTTGGTGGGCTAGATAGGGAGACTAGCCTTCACTCAAAAGTGTGGTGGGGCCGCACGTGGTGATTCATGCCTGTAATCCCAGAATTTTGGGAGGCTGAGGTGGGCGGATCACCTGAGGTCAGGAGTTCGAGATCAGCCTGGCCAACATGGTAAAACCGCGTCTCTACTAAAAATAGAAAAAATTTTAGCCAGGCATGGTGGCACATGCCTGTAATCCCAGCTACTTGGGAGGCTGAGGCAGGAGAATTGCTGGAACTGGGAGGCAGATGTTGCAGTAAGCCGAGATTGCACCACTGCGCTCCAGCCTGGGCTGGAAAACTCCATCTAAAAAAAGAAAAATTGTGGTGGGACACCGTTTAAGGCTTAAAATGGAAAGTGACCAGCAGAGATTCTTTTTCTAAATAAAAGATTACCCTGGCTACTCTGTAGAGAATAGAGTCACAAAGAAGGGACCAGTAAGGAA